AGAGAGCCGAGAACCCAGAAGGAGGGGGGGCAGAGGTTAAAGCAGATGTGGAAAGAGGAGGAAGAGGGGTCACGAGAGAACAGTGAGCAAGCTCGGGACAAAGGGGACTCTGGAGCAAAGACTGGGGCAGGATGGAGGATCTCTGGACCTGGGGAGATGGTCTTTCTTTCTACACACTGAGGGTCAAGTTCATCTTGGCTCAGGAAATGCTGGATCCGTTTCAGAGACACACTGGTCTGCAGGAGGGTGTGAGTCCGCTGTGAGGCTGAGCTTTTCCCATCTCCCCCACCTCGCTTGCCCTTGCCACGTCCCCAACTTCCTGGGCTGGGCAGGGCCCCTCAGGGACTCAGACGCCGGCTCTGGGGCCCCTCCCATGACTGAATCTTCCGTGGATACCATTGCCAAAAAATAAGGTCTAGGTTGGTAAGAGGAAGCTCTCTCTAGAACTCAGGGTTTCAGAAACCCCCATCTGACCTCCTGGGACCTCACATGGTCTCTGACCCTAATGACCTCATTCAACCTTGAACAATTCTTTTTTTTTTTTTTTTTTTTTGAGTCAGAGTCACACACTGTCACCCAGGCTGGAGTGCAGCGGCACGATCACAGCTCACTGCAGCTTCAACCTCCTGGGCTCAGGTGCTCCTTCCTCCTCAGCCTCCCAAGTAGCTGGGGCTACAGGCAGGCACCACCATGTCCAGCTGATTTTTTTAAATTTTCTTGTAGAGACAAGGTCTTGCTATGCTGCCTAAGCTGGTCCTGAACTCCTGGGTTCAAGCGATCCTCCCATCTCGGCCTCCCAAAGTGCTGAGATTACAAGTGTAAGTCCCCACACCCAGCCTGAACAATTATTTATAAAGTCAGTGGCCTTCTTCCAATTCCAGAAATGCTCCCTGAGTATCCCCTGACCCTAACTGACCTGTTCCCAACCCCAACCACCCACACTAACCCCTGCAGAATGCTCAGTCCCTACCCGGGGTTACCTGAGCCAGGGTGCTGATTAACTGGGGCAGCAGGTGGAGGGGCGTCTTCAAGATATTGAACAGGGACACAGACACAAAGGCCTTCTCGGCGTCCAGCACATTGTTCGGGTCCACCCACACGTACACCCCGAGGGTGATCAGAGTCACCTGGGGCCGCATGGGCACATGTGTCAGGGTGGGGTCTGTTGGGCTCCAGCTACACCTGGGCAGCCGGAGCCCTGGGCTGGCCAAGCAGGAGGCAGGAGCCCAGCCCCAGCGGAGAGCCTCACCATGAAGGGGGTGCAGGTCCAGACAAAGGTGGATATGGCATGGAGGTAGGCTGTCTTGCGCAGCAGCTGGAGCTCACCCTTCCTGATGCCCTCTATCTGCTCCAAGAAGCTGGGCTCCCAGGCATACAGCTTCAGCACCTTGATGCCACCCAGGATCTCATTCATCAGCTTGGTGCGCGAGTCCTTGAACTTCATTTGCTCCACCTGCACGGTGGAAAGAGTGGTGATGGCCTGCCTGACCTGCTCCTGGGCTCTGGCCTTCCACCTGGCACCATTCCACACCACAGCCACTCCACACTGCTCACCATTCCTCTTTGAGCCTCCCTGCCGGGCCCGTGCTGTGCCTTGGCCTGGAAGTCCCAGCCCCTGCCTTCCATGTCCTCTCCTGATGAAATCCAGCGCCATCCTCCATGCCACTGTCACTGACCCTCCTGGACAGCGCTCTCTGCTCCCTTCCCTGGGTTTTCTTTGTTCTTTTTTAAGAGAAAGGGTCTCACTCTGTCACCCAGGCTGGAGTACAGTGGCCTGATCATAGCTCACTGCAGCCTCAAACTCCTGTGCTCAAGGGATCTTCTCACCTCGGCCTCTCAAGTAGCTGGGACTACAGGTGCACACCAACATGACCGGTTAATTTTTTTTTTTTGAGTTGGAGTCTCACTCCGTCACCCAGACTGGAGTGCAGTGGCCGCTCTCGGCCACCGCAGCCTCGACCTGCTGGGCTCCGGCGATCCTTCCGCCTCAGCCTTCCAAGTAGCCAGAATTACAGGCATGCGCTACCACGCCCAGCTGATTTTTTGATTTATTGTAGAGATGAGGTCTCGTTGCCCAGGCGGGTCTTGAACCCGCGGGCTCACGCAATCCACTCACCTCAGCCTCCCAAAGTGCTGGGATTACAGGCTGAGCCACCGAGCCCAGCTTGACCGGCTAATTTTAAAATTTTCTGTAGAGACAGGGTCTCGCTATATTGACCAGGCTGGTCTTGAACTCCTGGCCTCGAGTGATCCTCCTGCCTTGACCTCCCAAGGTTCAGGGATGACAGGCATGAGCCATCATGCCCAGCACTTCCCTAGGTTTCTAAAGCATGTCACACTTTCCTTTCGTTCCAACACCATTCCTTTACATATATCCCTGGTACACTGTGAACCTCTTGATCTTCCAGACTCTAACCCAAGATGCGGCACATCAAATGAATGTATTAATTCAACCCCTATTTATGGAGTGCCTACTCTATGCCAAGCCAGGTGCTAGACACGGAGGATGTTTTAATGAATTTAAACAATTTAATGAATTCAAGCCATGGCCATCGGCCATCATACAGCTGCCAGTCTGATGGAGGAGGCAGATGATAACCAGACAATGACCTAAATAAATGATGTGTGCTCTGAAGGGAAGTAACTGGATCCTGTGAGAAAGTAATGGGGAGGGGGCAGGGAAACAAACTTAGACTGGGTCATCAGGGTGGGCCTCCAGAGGAAGTGACCTTTTTATACTGAGAGGTGAGGGAGGCAAAGAAGTTAGGCAGGCAAGTGGAGAATGAAGAGCATTCTAGGAGGAGGGAACAGCATGTATGGTGGCCCAGAGGTGCGCTGAGCTTGGTGCTTTAGAGAAAAGAAAGGTAAGACTGGCTGAAACTTGCCCCCACCCCAGGGGTGAGGGCTTGAGAGGTAAGCAGGGCCTGGTGGGTGGTCTTGGAGAGTATGTAACAGTGAAACAGCAAAAGAGCTAACATAATTAACTCCGTTCTATTGAAAGGGTCTGTACCCACTCCTGCACACAGGCCAGGATAATTTTAGAGCGCTGGGAAAAACGCGCAATCAGCAACCCTGTCGTTTTCGAAACTAACTCGGGGAGTCAAGGGGAAATGTGTCAACAACTCACCATGTTTTGTTAAAGACTCATAGGAACGTTGTGACCTGACCGAGGGCAAGGAAGCTTCCCAGCCTCTGACCCTCACCAGCACCTAAATGCCTGTGGTCACTGGACACCTCTTGATCCCCCACACCCTCCTCTTCTCCCTGCTCTGAACACAAAGAGAGCCTGATATTTGTACTGGTGGGTCTTTGAGACACTAGTCATCTTCTTGGTTTGCTAGCTTTCTGAAATAAAGCCTCCTTCCCTTGCCCCAGATCCTTGTCCCTCGCCTTATTGTCGTGCGGTGAGCAGAATGAGTTTGGACTCAGTTACAAGTTTGTCATTTTTTTTTCTAGGTGGGGGAAGTTACTGAAGACAATAAATGTTTGCACATAGTAGACAGAATGACTGGCTATTCACGCCTAGCACAGTGTAGTGGATCTGCCTGATTCTGGATAACCATAATTTCTCTGGGCTTTGAACCCTAGCTGCAAACTGAGTGTTACTAAGACCCTCTCGGAGTGGTGAGGGTTTGTGCCAGTGGCTAGCAGCCATCTGTGCTCAGGAAGTGAGGCGGCTGAGAGGCTCCCAGCTGGCCAGGTACACCACAGGGAGTAGCATACCTCCGACTGACACCTACCTGGAAGGCACGCATCTTCATGGCCACGGCTCCGTTGAGTGGAATCAACAAGACCATGAGAGCAACTCCAGCCAGGACAGAGGGACCGAGGTTCTGAGTGGGCACAGGCGAATAGATAACACATATGGACAGAGAACCAAAGGCCACAGACAGAACCAACAAGCAAACAGAGGCCGGGTGCCCTGAAATGTGTAGACGGACAGGAAGCAAAAGAGGGCGGTCGGCCAAACAGACAGAATGACCACAACATCTGCAGATGCAGCGGCCATCAGATAGTGGCAACACACAGGAAGGCAAATACAGACACGGACCGCCAGAGTCTCACCCACCCTGCCTCCAAGTTCCTCTTTCCTCCCCTGCTTCTGCAGGAAGGATAATGGTACTGGCTGGAGACTTAGGAACAGACACTAATATCTTCAAAGGCCTGTTTCTCCCCTCTCTCCCCAATACCTTGGGAAGCTCTTGTGTCCATTCTGTATCCCCCTGCTCACCCAGAGTAACCCTCTCCTTTTTTTCTTCCTTCCTTCTTTCCTTTCCTTCTTTTTCTTCCGTCCCTCCCTCCCTCTCTCCCTCCCTCTCTCCCTCCTTCCCGCCCTTCCCTCCCTCTCTCCTTCCCTCATCTCTCTCTCATTCTTTCTTTCTTTTAGAGACATGGTCTCAATATGTTGCCTAGGCTGGAGCACAGTAGCTACTCACAGCCTGGAACTCCTAGGTTCAAACCATCCTCTTGCTTCAGCCCTCCAAGTAGCTGGAATTACAGGCATGTGCCACTGAGCCCAGATCCAGAATAATCCTCTCTTGTTCCATCCACAGCAAGGGGAAAGGACAGAGGACAGGGCTGGAGCGTCACCTGCCAGAGGAAGTAGATGGCCAGAAAGATCTGCAGGGGTGCCGACCACAGCAAGTTGAGGAAGGGGGCAAGGTCCATGAAGCGCTGGCCGTCCACGGACATGAGGTTGACAATTTCCCCCACAGTGGATGCACGTTTGACCGCATTGGTGATGACCAGAGCCTGAAGGGGGACAGCAGGGGCCTGGTCTTGCCCACAGGCCTCTCGAAAGCTGCCCAGGGCCAGCCTCGCCCCCGTGCCCTGCTCCAGCTGACCTTCCTGTAGATGACGCCTATGATCCCCGTACGGATCCTCAACCCAGTCACAAAGATGCAGTGGTAGTACTGGTGAAGTATCAGCGTCTGTATCACGGAGCACAGGAACATCAGCCCGGCCACTAGGAAGCCCCACCAGGAAGGGGCTGTGGGGTTTGAAATGAACTGGATCAGGACGCTGCCGGGAGAAGGGAGGTATGAGGCGGGAGTGCTCCCCTGGCTGCTCCCTCCTCTGCCACCCTTAGCGTCCACTGCACCCCCTGCCCCTGAGACATCACGGCCCCAGTTCCGGGGCCATGAAGAGCCCAGCCCCGCACCGCCTCAGACCATTCCCTCCATCCTCCCTCCACACTGCCTTCACTTTTTCCCCCACCGGTGCCGGCCGAAGCGCCATCCACGCACTCACCACCAGCCTCACCTGCCTGCCCTTCCCACCCCCTGAGCCATAGGGCAGCAAGAAATGCCACATCTCCGTGGATTAGACTCCCCTGCCCTTCTCCTGGGCCGCTAAGGGCTCCAGATGCTGCCATGTGACCGCACGCGCCTCTCGGATTCATCCTTCCAAACTCAGCGGCCCTCAGCACTGCAACCTCGGGTTCCCAATCCGCCTCCTCCCTCAGGGTTTCCTTCACCCTCTTCGCTCACCTTCTGGCCTGTGCCACCCTGGCCTGTGCCACCTCCACCCCTCTCAGCAGCCACCTGTCCTCCCACTCAACCACCCACAGAACTCTTGCCACCCACAAACTGCCCTCCCGACACGCACCTTCTTCCTTTTCTCCCGCCTTGGAAGAGGAGACATCCCTCTGATAGTTCAAGCCTGATCCTGCCCCCTGCCCCCAGCCC